CGTTAGTTTCATGGAAAAAGATCAGAAGCAGGCTGTGTGTCAAACTAACTCTAAGTTTCCTCATGGTTCTAGGAAAAGCAAGATGCCGAAAATGCCCAACCCTGGGCTATTGATGTGCTTGCACTACTAGGCAAAAAGGAAAAAAAAAAAAGACAAAGAAATCCATTTCCTCAGAAGACACATTTAATGAGGCAACTGGGGTCTAAGGTGATAAATTAGAAATTCAACTAAGGGCATCAGGCTTAAAGGAACAAGCAGAAGCATGATGAAAAATGCAGGGGGAGAGAGAGAAATGTTTTTCTGTGCAACGTTCATCTTCCTACTGATAAACTATGCTGGCTGATCATTTCGGCTATGACTGCTGGCGTCTAATGTCATTCATCTGGGACTCTACTACATCTGCTCTGGGATACGGGAAATAAAGGGAAACAGAACAGAAGACTCCAGAACGCTTACCTTGCCATCTTCCGTGTAGACATTTTCATTATATCCCTTAACTATTGTTCGATCAATGAACAGGCTCCGCATGACGACAATCACTTTCAACACCTTTCCCAAGGTCACCTGTCAAAACACGTGCACGTGGGCATGAGAGCTTACACTCGAACATGCAAATGCAGGAAGCGGGGCAAGACGATGCGAACAAGAAAGGGTCACCTCTCCCTCTTGTTCCAGAGGGACGTGCCGGAGGGCCTTCTGAGGGAAGACATCCTCAAACGTTCATGAACCAGCCCGGAGAACAAGGCCCTCCCGCCGTTGCTTCAGGGTGGACGGGTCCCCATTTATCCACCTGTGCCGAATTTATTCAGATTTTTGGCTTCTAAATCTCAAGATAAGTTCCGTATGTTTACTATTTGACGGATAAAATGAAATTTCTTTCTATTTGGTTCCATCTTAAGATGATCTGTTCAAAGGCTATCTATGATTCTGGCATCCCAGGATTTGGTAAACGCATTTGTTTGCCTGTTATTTCGTGGCCCCACGTACGCACAAGGATTATGTAGAGACGACAACAGAGAGATGACAGGCAGGTGCCAAATGACCGCCTGGCTCAGCGATCTATTTATAATAGCTGGTAGTAGGTGGAGACACAACACCAAGTAAGTTCTGGAGGTAAATGGAAAGTAGCTGAATTTTGTCTCCAAAAAGGGACACGATCCTGGAAACCCATTAAGTGCTTTCACTCTGTTAGAAACGAAGCATGTATTCAGGATAAAAAAACAAAACCCACACACCTAAAAAAGCACGCAGTTTCCTATAACGCCAGGGAAGAAGTAACCCGCCGTGCTTGCTGGGACGGGCTGGGCACTAAGACTAGAAGCGGCACCTCCCTTGCTTCCAGGGGCTCACGTAACTCTGCCAATACTCTGCTAAGCCTCTTGTGTTCATTTCCTAGATGAGACCCTAGAGGCATACTTGGAACAGGACCTATCCTAGGCCCACGGTCTGGGTTGTTTGATGAGGCTCCAATATCAGAGGATGGACCCCAAAAGACCCCCCTGTCCCAATCCTTTTTTTTTTTCCTAATTAAACAAAAAAAATTTTTTTTTTTTTACATTTATTTGAGAGACAGAGAGAGACAGAGTACAAGTGGGAGAGGGGCAGAGAGAGGGAGACACAGAATCCAAAGCAGGCTCCAGGCTCTGAGCTGTCAGCACACGGCCCGATGCGGGGCTCGAACTCACAAACTGTGAGATCATGACCTGAGCCAAAGTCGGATGCTTAACTGACTGAGCCCCCCAGGCGCCCCCCACCCCCCGCCTCTCCCCCCGCCTGCCCCAATCCTAACTCCACGAGCCAACATGCACTCTGTTTCTGTGGATGCCGCCCTCAACCGTCCTCTCCTTATTTCCCTGTTCTCCACAGCTTCTAGCCGACTGTCCACAGCAAAAACCCTCCTCTTTCCTCGACTAGTCCTGGAGGGGCAGAGAACATTCCTAGTATCCGGTTCCTTCAGGAACTTCTAAGTGCTGAGAGGAGCCCTCTATTTTTGTATGTTTAAAATGGCCCAGGATTATACACAGTGTAAGAAAAAGATAGGATAGCCTTATTTACATTTGAGAGAGTGTTAATAAAAACCTCTCGTTTCTGTGTAGTACTTTCAAATATTGTATACCACGTAGCATTTCATGGGCCATTTCTTGTATCCCTGGAAATCACTATTGAAGGATGTCAATAAACCACCAAGGTAGGAGCAACGGCTCTCTCTAGCTTACACCCCCCCCCGCGGGGGGGGGGGGGGGCAGGAAAGAAAAGAATCAAATTAATGGTTTGGTAATCATCAGCACTGGAATGAGCAGCCTCTCACTGGGCTGCAGTGGAAATCCAACACACCTTTCCCAACAGGGCCACCGTTTTCAACCGCCCTTTGCGAATAAGCAGAGATAACTAAGCAATTATTTCCTTAAAAAAACTAAAGTCTAGCTGACTTTAACCAATAAACTGCCTCTGTCATTTATCAGGCTTTTTAAGATGGAATTCAAAGAGAACACACACTAAAAACACTAGATATTTTATATGGAAAACTTTTGTTGTTGTTGTTGTTGTTGTTTTCAACGTGTTTTATTTATTTTTGGGACAGAGAGAGACAGAGCATGAACGGGGGAGGGGCAGAGAGAGAGGGAGACACAGAGTCGGAAACAGGCTCCAGGCTCCGAGCCATCAGCCCAGAGCCCGACGCGGGGCTCGAACTCCCGGACCGCGAGATCGTGACCTGGCTGAAGTCGGACGCTTAACCGACTGCGCCACCCAGGCGCCCCTTTTTGTTGTTTTTAAGAGTGACTTTTGATACTTTAAACCTAACAAATACTAAAAAGTTAACTAATAAATAAGCTTGCTATAGAAAATCGAAAATTGGAGTAAAAAGGAAGAAAATAATCATTCACAGTCTGCCCTTCTAAACTGTTAACATTTGGGGGGGGCGGGTATTTCCTTTCAACCTTTTTACTCTCCAAGATCTATGGACTCCACAGAAAGAGAGGCCAGACCTGTGGCTGCCAGAGATGGAGGGCGGGGCAGTAGGCGAGCAAAGGGCACAATGGTCCAGTTACACTACAGGTAACATCACCCACGATGACCTCAGCTAGCACTGCGGCAGGACGTGCAGGAAAGCAGTTTCCAGAGTAAATCCTACAAGTTCTCTTTACAGGGAGAAGTCTCTCCTTTTTTCCTCTTCTTTCTGGTACTTCTATTCCAGAAGATGGATGTTAGCTGAGCCTCCTGTGGTAATCGTTTCGCATCAAACTTACACAGTGGTGTAAATCGATTACTTTGGACTAAAACCGGAGGAAAGAAAGAGCTACTGTTTCTGAATTTTTGACATGGTTGTAATTGAAGCCATATATATAATTTCAAATCACATTTTTATTTAAAATTCTGACATCAGCACCCGTTACACATCACCGTGCAGTCTCCAAAAATGGTGGCTGCGTAGCATTCCACTTAGTGGGTCTATTTATAATTTCTTTAACCATTCTCCTACTGCCGGACATGAGTTGCTTCTAAGTTTTCCCTAATATAAACATGCCTACCGTGTGCATTTTTGTTTTTGTTTTTGAGATGTTTATTTTTGAGAGAAAGAGAGAGAGACTGAGAGAGCATCAGTGGGGGACAGGCAGAGACAGAAGGGGACAGAGGATCTGAAGCGGGATCTGTGTTGACAGCTCGATGCGGGGCTTGAACCCACAAACTGTGAGAACATGACCTGAGCCGAAGTCGGACACAACCAACTGAGTCACCCAGGTGCCACTACAATGTGCATTTTTGTTCACCATCTTCGTTGCGTCTGGGATGACTTCCTGAAGATCTGTAGAACTGTAATTACTGGGGCCAACAGGACAACTATTTTAAGGCTTCTGATACAATCTGCCAGCCAACCATGAACCACAAGGGTTATGCCAGCCAGAAAGGTACGAATGCAGCTATTTCACTCTTGTCTTGCCAGCAACGGGTGCCATTAAATCAAAACAAAAGTAAAACCACCCTTCTGGAGGGAGCAACTTAGTTATTATTATTATTTTTTTAATGTTTATTTGCTCCTGAGAGAGGGAGAGAGAGCGCGAATGGGGGAGGAGCAGAGCGGGGAGAGACAGGGGATCCAAAGCAGCCCCCGACAGCAGCGAGCCCGATGTGGGGCTCCAACTCAGGAACCGTGCAATCATGATCTGAAGTCAGACGCTCAAAGGACTGAGCCCCCCAGGCGCCCCTTAATTTCTTTAACCCATCTATTATGGAAGATTTAAACACATATACAAAGGTAAGTGAAATAAAACAAAGAACCTCCACAGACCCACAGTTCGACAGTTACAGCTCCCGGAAAACCCCGTTTCACCGCTACCCCCACCTACTTTGCCCTTTTCCTGCGTTATTTTGAAACAGGTAACAGCCGTAACATTGTTTCATCTGTAAACATTTTCCTTCCGTGGCTCTAAAGGATAAGGGCGCACAAAGCAAAACGCACAAGATTATGATGCCATCCCCCATCCCAATCAACAAGAATTCTCCAATATTATCAAGACTGAAGTGGTCAGGGCTCAGATTTTCAACGGTCTCGTAGATGCCACTCTTAAGAACGTCTGCTTGTACCAGGATCTGAATACGGTCCACACCATGTGACGGGCTGACACGTCTCATAAGGCTCGCCTAAAGGTTCCCCATCGCCACCCTGCCCCCCTCCCCACCCCATCCCCTTTTATTTGTTGAAGAAACTGGGTCAGTTTTTTTTTCTATAGCGTTCTCCATAGTCTGGATTTTGCTGATGGTGCCCCCATGGTGTATTTTACACGTTCCTCCTCACTCTGTACTTCCTGTAAACTGGCAGGAGAGGAGATTCAGCGTGATTTCTTTTGGCTCGACGAGTTCACAGGCGGTGTCACCGTCTACCAACAGGAGGCAAGCAAGCTTGGGTGTCTCGGTAGGTGATGCTGGCAGCTGCTGACCCATTAATTCACCAGGGGTCTGTGCTGGCCACACACCAGGGTGACCATTCCGTCTTCATTTATCAGCTGGAACACTTTTATAAAGAGAAACCTCCCCTCATCTACGATTCGGCTACTCAGTGGTTGAGTTTATTACGCAGGAGGAGAGGCAGGATAAATGCTCCGTTCTTTCCCTTTATTTACCAGTTTTTGAAACAACGCATCAATTCACTAGTTTCCTTCCCGTGTAGACGGCTCAGTTTTCCACCCAACATCATTATAAACTCGTGGATTGAAACATATTTGATGTATCTGTATCTGATGCGATTATTAGCCTCACAGTCTTACTGATGCTCACACTGTCCTGTCTGTGGCCAGGGGGCATCTCCCTGGTTGAGTCCTTCCGGCACACTCTAGTCTCTGTGCCTTGCTTTCTGGTGCAGGGCATTCCAGGCTTGTCTTGTTACAATTCCTGCCCGAGCTCATGAGTCAGCCGTTTCCTCCAAGAGTCCTACTTTTCAGTGGGAAATGGCATTTCACGACCACGATCAGGGCAAGAGAGGCAAATAATTTTGACCGGTTAAAATTTTTCTTTTCCCTTTTATGAATATGAATTAGCTCAATATTTTCCTGTCCACTTCTCCCTTA